TTAGTGAAGGACAGAAAAGCACAGCATAAATCAACAGATAAAAGGTTATGCTGTCAGTGTGTAATGACTCCTGACATTCCAGCAAAATCCCAAGCATCCAAGGACTTTGAAAAGTGATTTCTAACATTTCTCAAAAAAATACATGAGCAAATTATAATGAGAAAAAATGTTTGAAAAGATAAACAAGGAATTTTTTTAAGTGCTGCCAAACACAGGAGATTTCTAGTAATTTGCAATAATAAAGTTGGCTTATAGGAAATGAGGGAGATTTGGGATTGGACAGACATACAATCACAATGAGACCTGGGTCCACCCACACCTGTGTAGTCCTACACTGTCATACACTGCAATGGGCCCCAGTTAGGATGGAGGGTTGGGTCTTCACAGCCTACATCTTCCAGGCATTGGGTGTCAGCTGGCCTGAGGAGGCATCTGATACTGGGTGAGGTGCTGAGGATACGCTGGAGGCTGGGAATGAATATTCAGTCCTGGGAAGGCTACATTCGTGCAGTATCCACTCTAGCCCACACATGAGTGTTGTGTGTTGATTTCATGTCAGTGTGGGGAACAGCTCCTTCCAGATCTGGTGAGCATACTTTTTGAGGGGAAATATGATGAGAAGATGAGTAGAATGATTGCACCCTTTACCAGGGCAGCTGCTCTTGAAGCATCTGTTCCTCATCACTGTTTTTATTGTCCTTATCTCTTGCTAGCACAGTTCCTGAGGTGAGCCAGACCCTCTTCCCAGGAGTCTGGAGCCTCCGGTCACATGCACTTCTCCAGTGATGGTTACTACTTGTCCTTTTAGCTTTAAAACGATGTCAGAAAATAACGAGATGTTCGACTGGAATAACTTGTAATGGCAGTAAGAAATGATGCAAGGAAATATCAAAGGACGGAGAAGTCAAATAAATGTGTCAACAATTTGAGAAAGATATATTGAGTTGAGATCTCAAAGTATAAAATAAATTATATTTGAGTCCATACTAATAGAAACAAATAGCTGGCTGAATAAACTGGGGTGATGAGCCTAATCTGTACAGAAACTTCCAAATCATGAGTGAAGACACTGATAAAGCAGGCCTCACCGCCTTCCCAAGTGGAGGCTGTACACAGTGACTCCCAAGGGTTAGTGTATGGAAATGGGAACATAGAAGCTTTACCTAAATGGGAAAATGTAGCAAATAGCACTCCACCCCGACAGCAAAGGCCAGCATTAGGTGCATGAGATGGATGGCCTGGACCCTTGAAATCACAGGATACTTTATCTCTGTAGTCTTCCTTCCCCAGGAGCATTTTACACAATGTCTGACCCACGGTCAAGATCACCAAGGTCATTAAAGGAAAGATTAAGAAACAAGGCATGTTAATTAAGTATATCATTTGTAGTAATTGCTTTTCATTAAATATACAGATATCTGTGTGTGTGTATATATATATGTTTTAAATTTTATTATTATTTTTTTCCATTGTGGGGCTTGAACTCTGGGCCTGGGCACTGTCCCTGAGCTCTTCAGCTCAAGGCGAGCACTCTACCACTTGAGCCACAGCACCATTTCTGGTTTTCTGATAGTTAATTGGAGATAAGAGTCTCACAGACTTTCCTGCCTGGGCTGGCTTTGAACTATGATCCTCAGACCTCAGTCTCCTGAGGAGCTAGGAATACAGGTGCCTGGATTATTTTCTCTTATAATTTTTGGTGCTCATCCTGGGCACTGTCCCTGAGCTTTTTTGGGGGAGGGGGGAGAGGAAGGGCTATCACTCTATCACTTGAGCCACAGCTCCACTTTTGGCTTTCTGATAGTTTAATGGACACACAGTTTCCTGCCTGGGGTGGCTTCAAATTGTGATCCTCAGATCTCAGCTTCCTGAGTATCTAGGATTACAGGCGTGACTCACTGGCACCAGTATTAGAGAAATACTAAAATAGTGTTCACATTTTTTGATACAAAACTGCTGTAATATATGCACATGTGTTATGACACTATAGTAAACAGTGCTCGAAAAGATACATTAAGTAGTGATTATCTCTGGGGACACTAACAGGAAGGAGTGTTAGGGGTCAAACCCAGGACCTCATGACTGCTAGGTAAGTGGTCTTCCTCTGAAGTATACCTGAGCTCTACTTTTTATCCTGTATTCTATATTCTGTATTAGTTCCATCTTACTATTTTTGTGAAACATGTTTCATTTTAGTTTAAAAAGATTTTTTATGTTAAAAGGTCATAAGAAGGCCTTAAAATGAATTGTTTTCCTCAGTATTTGCTGTTTTCCATATGTTCATTAGAGGCAATATTTATTTTGAAAACTTATAGCTGAAATGCTGCTGAAAACTTTGCATGTGGTAATTATTCGTAGGTATATTTCACTACCTTCAAATAGTTGCACAAGGGAGTGTCAATTTCACATGTCCATTTATGTTTACAATGAATCTTTTTTTGGGGGTGGGGGGGTGTTGGTCGTGAGGTCTGAACTCTGGGCCTGGGTGCTGTCCCTCTTCAGCTCAAGGCTAGCGCTCTACCACTTGAGCCACCTTCCCAACTACAATGCATCTTGACCAGCCACCTTTTCCATCAGAATCCCCGCTGTAGTTATAATATTAACGGGAAAGTTTTCTCAAAAATTGTCTTGAATTAAAAAATAAGCACAAAAAGGAGGCAAATCCTAAAAACAGTATTCTTGCTCCCAATTTTTAAAACAATTTAACTAAAACTGACCTTCCAATTCTCTCTCTTTTCTGTCATTCTTAATATTTCCCCCTAGCAACAAGAAAAGGAAAGTTCAATTATTTTTCAGTGGATGGGTTGTTTTTAGACCAGTATGCATGTGTGCATTTTAAAAAAATTGTGATGTACAGAGGGGTGACAGTTATATAAGTCAGGTAAATGAGTACATTTCTTTTTGCACAGTGTCCAACCTTTCCCTTGCTTTCTCCCAGTTTTTCCCTCCCATGACGCCCCCAAATTGTATAGTTCATTTTCAACAGTGTCTAGTGAGCCTTCGCTGCATTTGTTCACCCTTTGTCCCACCATTTTGTGCTCTCCTTTCACCTTCCTTCAAACAGATAAACTTACATACCAGACAAAGAGGCACAGAGAACAAAACCAGCAACAAAGGAGAAAAAATAAACAAAAACAACACAAAACCTCTTGTTTCCATTTCTTGGAGTTCATTTTGATAAATATCATTTTATATGATTCTATTGTACATTTCTTTTTTTTTTTTTTTTTTTTGGTCAGTCGTGGGCCTTGAACTCTGGCCCTGGGTGCTGTCCCTCAGCTCTTCAGCTCAAGGCTAGTGCTCTACCA